AGAGGTCAATTCTAGACTATTTGAAAGATGGGCATCCATATGCAATTATAACAGATATATCTAATAAGGGAAATATTAAAACATTTCCCTCGATCCTTCGCTATTTCAACAAGAATAAGAGCATTTCAATAAAACTGTTAAAAATTTTTCCTCGGATAGTGAAAAATTTAACAATGTAGCTAGCCACACACATAATAGTAAATAGAGCTGATTCAGGGTTATCAATAATTTGCATGTCAGCTTTCTGTGCTGATAATGCCTTAAATTTTGGCAAAAACTAAAGTTACCGAATTGAAGCAGCACGATAATGAATTAATACCAATTGGCTGTATATGCCATATACTACATAATTCTTACAAGAAGTCAATGAATGTACTATCTGTGGATGTCGAAATAATTGTGATGAAATGTTTTAACGAATTTAGTTCATCAACTAAAAGAGTTAATGAATTAAAAGAGTTGGTGAAGTGGTCTGACTTGGAATGGTGTGAGTTGTTGCGATATATACCTATTAGGTGGTTGTCATTAATACCTGCCAACGATAGAATTTTAAAATTTTACAAACTTAAAAAAATACTTCTTAAATAGTAAATTTTAAAAGCTGTCCTAAAATTTTGAAAAGTTTTTTTCGAGTATGAAATGGCAGAAGTATATTTGGGATTCGTTTCACATGTAGGAAATCTACTTCATGTAGTTAATATTTTGTTGCAATCAAAATATTCTTTATTAAAAAAGATTCACAAAATCATGCTACAGCTCTGATTCTACCATAGGCGTAGGTAGAATTTTCCTAAGGGGGGGGGTGATTTAAAAATTACTGAGGGCTTTGCACCCAGACCCCCTTTTGGGCGGGCCTTCGGCCCACATTTGCCTTAATCTATATATAGTCATAAAATATTTTTACAAGATAGTAGGTTATTTTTAATAAAAAAATAAGCCTGGAACAAATATGAAATATATTTTCATCAGTTTATATAAAATATAATAAATTACTTGTATATACATTAATATAACAACATGGTAATAATTTATTCCAAACAAGTATAAGAAATTTATTTAGAAAAAGTAAGTAGGCATATAGTTGATATTCCTCTATTATATAGAATTAGTTTCAAAATACTCGGTAAAATTCCACTTTTACAGGCATATTTGACAGTTAGAGAATATATTACAGTTAATATTTTAACAAATTTTACTAGTCAATGCTCTTGATAATAAATATAGCAACAATTTTCATTCAATTATTTAACGTCATCTATTAATTTTAAATAAAATATTAAAAATTAGTCTTCATATTATTTATCCCACAATGTCTTTAAAAGATATTTTCGGATATTCTTATCAATATTTTATAGTTTTCTGTAAAATATATAATTCGCTATATTGGTAAAAATTACTATTAGCTTAAAATGATATTCACAAAAAGTTATAAATATCTGAAGGGGGGGGGGATTTCCCCTTGCCCCTCCCTGGCTACGCCTATGATCTCTGTCGTAAATTATAATGTATTTTTTTTTATATTTGAATGTCAATCATCTCAACTTTGATTTTTGTGATATTTTTAACGTTTTTATGAAAAATGATTTTTATTACTCATTAATTTTTTTATGAAAAACTTATTGAAATGATTATTATTTTTTTATGCTTAAATTTGTAAACCCATTTTCTTTTAAGTAATTAATTTTGGATATTAAAAATAATAAAAGTTTATAAAAAAAAACCAAAAAGTATCACATTTTTTAGATTGAGTGAGAATTAGTATTATTGACGTTTCTTTGCGATTTTTTAATTTCAGTAAGTTATTTTTATATTTAGATTTTTGCCAGTTTGGGTTGTCTGCGTATTTTGTTAATGTTTTATGATTAATGTTGATAGTTATTTTTATTATTTTTGTCATTTCTATTTTTTTTAGTTTTCTTTTTTGACAATCTCTACAGTTAAAAATTGATAATAAATTTTATGGCGCTATTGCTAAAAATATTATATTAGAATGTTCAAATAATACTCTAATTAATACATTTTTAAATGATGCAGATATTTTTATTAAGACAATTTTAGAATATTTACAATCAAAATTTGATTTTAATAATTCTATTTACAAATGTATAAATATTATGACCTTGGAACAGAAACCATCAATTGATGGTTTTTATAATTTAATAATATATTAAAAATACCGAAAGACATTGATGTCTTGTTTGAGGAGATTGTAATTCTCTCTATTTTTTATGATTCGCCAAAATACTAAAAGTTAGATGGTCTAAAAGCAGAGGAGAAATAGGTAGAATTTTTTCGTAATAACGATAAATCCTCATGCTTGGAAAAAATATGCGAGTATGTCTTCTCCTTACCTCATTCTAATGTCTCATCCGAGGGCATTTTTAGTCTGATGAGGACTGCCTGGAAAAAGGAGAGAAATCGGATTGCTTTAACAAGATTAGAGGCCGAGCTAATGGTTAAACAAATATATAATATGTCATGCCAGGAATTTTATAAATATCTCAATAACGACGGTAAACATTTAGTTCTATTATTTAAATCTCAAATAAAATATAATTAAGTTTTAGTAATGGCGCTATAAAATCTATTGTCAATTATTACACATCTTCAGCATAATTTTGTGAATCTTTATTAAGATTCTTCTGATTGCAACTACACATTAACAGCATGTAGTAGATTTCCTACATGTGAAATCATTCCTAAATACACCTCTGCCATTCATTATTGAAAAAAATTTTCAAAATGTTAGGACAGCTTTTATAATCTATATTTAAGAATTTTTTTTTTAAAGGTTTATAAAATTTTAAAATTCTATCGATGGCGGGTATTAGGAACATATCGCAACCAACATTGTGCTGACTCAATTCTGTAAATATCTGTTTTTACCAAATTCACTCCACCTATTATTTTAATTATCAGATCAGAAAGCTGACATGCAATTTATTGATAATCTCGAATCTGCTATATTTACCATTATATGGTTAGCTATGTCTTTTGATTTTTCACTATTTGAGGGGAAAAAATTTAATAATTTTATTGAAACGACTTTAATTTTGTTGAAATAGCGGAGGATCAAGGGCATATGTATGCCCATCTTTCAAATCGTCAAGAATTAACCTCATTAATTTAGGCCCTAAAACATTGATGATAGCCTTGCTCATTTTTGTTCTACAAGTATAGTTTTCATTTATATTAGAGTCGTTAAATATTATGGGAAAAAGATTCTACTAATATTGTGATGATAAGTATCTTTGCGAATGTTGTACTAGAAGATAAGTCATTACAATTGCCGCAACTGTAGTTGCCACTGTATTATTTCTTATTTTTTAGAGTACCTTATTATGTATTTAATCGTGATACGTGATAATTAAGCGCCTATCCCTATAATGTTATACACACACGGTAGATTTCCAATTGCGGTCGTTTTGCGGGATATTCGCATAAAATATATTTTTAATTGTAATATTAAAATCGTTTATTTTTATAAAATTTTATTTTGTTTACATTTTTTTATATTTAAAAAAGATCGTTGGTTTTTTTTTATAAATATAATTTATTTTAAATAAATCAAGATTTTATTTTGAAAAATAGTTACCGACTTTGTATTTATATAAACTTATTATAAAAAATAATAGGCGGATAATTAAGTCAATTCAAAATCCCGGCCTAAAAATTATTTTTAGCAATTTTTATATTTCTACCGCAATTTTTATATTTCTCCCGCATAATACCAAATTTCTTCCGCAATTTGAAAATTTTGACCTGGCAACCCTGACTTGTACGCGCAACATTTCGAAAAATGTTACAGACGTCAATAGGCTTTAAGAAAAAGAGCGGGGCAGAAAAAGAGCATATGCCCAAGAACTGCAGTATAAGTTAATTACTTTAAAGGTGGGTGGTGGCTGATTTTAAGTTTAAATAATTAGTGTAAGTCTTTATGATTGCTATCAGTATTGAGATTTAAGGTTCATAGAATCTAAAATAAAGATGATTAAATATAAAAATTTGCCTGATCGTTGATGATTTATCAATAAAAAACAGTATTACCACTTATACTTCTAAATCTTCCAAAAATTTTCCAATTACATACGATATTCTAGAATATAATTTGAATAAGTTATTCAATTATAATTTTTAAAAAACTCTAATTTATGTATTTAATAAAATTCGATGTTTGAAATAAATTAAAATAAAAAGTAGTAGTTGTTTATTAAAATTAGTAGTCGTATTATTACATAGTCGTAGTCGTTTTATTATATTTATAAGCTAAATAAAGTATTGCCGTTACTGCCGCTATCTAATTTAATATGTAGAAAAGATATAAGTTAAGTTGTTAAATATTTACCTATAATGCCAAAGACTATAGGGTAAATTATTTTCTGGGAGAATTTATTATGCTTTTAGATATGGCACCACATCCTCCACCCTCTATAGATATTATCAAATCAAAGAAACCAGGCCTGAATTTTAAAGTAAATATCATTAGAAATAAATTTAAAATAAAAGTGAGAAATAGCTGCAAATACTTTTTTAAAATATTTTAGACCTTTATGAAATTTATAATGCAATTTATCGCCAATTTAGCTTAAATTAAACGTCAATATTCATTAAATGTCATCAACGTGTTATATAGCTACTTTTATAAATATGTATGAGGAAAATTTTTACGAAGAATGTGGAAAAATAGTAGATGTTATTCATAAAACAAAACAGAGTGTTAAAAATATGGTTTATAAAAGTTCCATTAAAGTTTTATATATTTTTATGATATTAAATAATATATATAATAGGATAAAAGAAAATTGATGGCTTTATTATGCAGTTATTTTGCAGTTGCTCATAAAATAGATAATATAATAAAGTCACAAATTATCAAACATGATACGATATCAAAATATTTGCTAAAAGTTTTTATATATGAATATTATTTTGGCTTTGGAAAATCTTATTTACTTTTAAAAAAATTAAGGGAACATAATTTGCTAATTATTTTCAAGAAAATGAAACAGAAAAGTAGCTTAGCAATATATAAAAATTTTATTATAAGGATATTTTATAGTAAAAGCTCTATATACAATAAATATGGAGGCAATATCAAGTGCATATTTTCATAATGTATATTTTATAATTTATTAAAGCACAGACTCTAAAGTATGTAAGAATCAATACTATAAAAATAAAGGAATATTTGGCTGTTAAAAAATTAACTGACCAAGATTTTTATCTAAGTATCTTTGTGTCTGACCTTTATACAAAGCAGTTTGATTATCTAAAGTGAATCATATATCCATTCATTAAATGTAATAAACAAATTTAGACATTTTTACAAAGATTATCGAAATAGAAATAAATTTTTTAAAGATACAAATATTCCTAATTTATATATATTTTCACCAAAATGTGATTTACATGAAAATGATTTGTATAAAGATGGTTGTTTAATTATTCAAGATAAAGTACATAATATATTTAATTACAGTCATTCCTTTATGTCAATGATTATAACTATTTAATATTATATATTAAGGTATTAATTATAATAATAACCAGAGCTTTGTAAACTTGCCTGAAATCTCAGGGTGTTTGATTATTTAAATAAATTTTCAGGGCATGGCTAATTTCTAAAAAATCAATGTGCACTTAGAAGATATGTAGAAGAATCTAAAAAATAAAATAAATGTTTCCCTTTTTGACTATGTCTAGAACCACAAAAAAATTAAATTAACAAACTTTTGAAACTTTAATAAAAATAAATAAATAAGCTATTTTAAATATAAAAATAAAAATATGTCCAAAACATTATTCTAGGAATTTGATTACAAAAATTTAACATGATTTCATTAAAATTTGAAAAAGTTTTGAAACTTTTTGAATTTTTTAAAATGGTTTTGGAGCCTTTATTAACATTAGATGATAATTAGAATTTTTCTGTGATAAATGTGTTTTTTGTATTTTTCGATTGAAAATTAGGTTTAGGACTAAAAATAAAATAAAATTTTTAGCCAACCCTAGAAGTGTAAGATTAAATAATATGAATATATCTTCTTTATCATCCTATCACCTATTTTAATATAGCCACACACTCATTTAATATTCATTTATACCTATTTAATGCCACCATGACTCCAGTCTCAGCAATTCCATTTAATATTGTTAACGTTATTTTGGAAAGTGACTATCTCCATTTAAAATGAATTATTAATATCATAATCAAATCCCAAATTTCTATAAGAGGTTTCCTCTATATCCTTGCACATCAATTGCTCCACTCTTTTTACAATTTGCTTGGTTTGGTTTTTCTCCAGTCTTTTACCACCTTAATTAGCTTTCAAAGCTTATCATTGATATTAGTAGTACTTAAGTTTTCCCATGCCTTTGCCTTCTTAACATTATTCTTCTTTAACTTGTCTAAAATCTATTTAAGAATTTACATTTCCATTACTCTCAACAATTTCTCCTCACTCTTTTTGGGCTAACACTCTAAACCATTCAAAACAGTCTCATCCCCGATCTATAGCATGTATTTTCATTTTAGAAGCATTTTCTTTTATTTGACTAATAAAAATGCATCATGCATATTTCTCAGTACACCCCATAAATGTTGTTAAACATGTCACATAACATCAATCACACCTCTAACCCCAAATATTTAGTTATCGTTTATGTAAATACTAAAAACAAAAAGTCTAACCAATGACACAAACCTATTTTTACTTCAAGACCTATAGATGCTCTCACTTGTTCCTCAATATTGTCTAACTACTATTATACAATCCTTTATATTCACATTTCACTCCTGCATGCCCTTTCTTTACATATTAAACATCACCATAAAGTTTTCCTTGAATCTTTGTCACGTGCCTCTAAAGATTACCATCAAATAAGCATAAATTCTGTGTCTCTTTACCACTAATACTACACTAATCATAGTTCTCACTTTAAATTCATACAGATTATTATAGATGGACACTACTTTTCATAATTTTGTCTCAATCACATTTTCCCATAATATTAAATATCACCTAGCTGTAGTTCTACTAACACCCACATCGTCTATAGTTTTGGAAAATTGAATTTATATAACCTTCTATCATGTTTCATAGAGTGGTGTAGATTTTATTTTATTATTTAGTATTATATGCAAGTTTAGCCTTTTTTTGTCGATACCTTCTGGGGGTCTAGCAATCACTTACCTACCTTTTTTTATTCTCTGCATTTAAAATTTTTGAAAGTTGCCCACTTCCAATCTTCTTTTCCATCTTCCCAAATACCTAATCTCCTTTCCTACTATGTTTAAATCTGTTTATTATCACATAATCATTTACCTTTCGATTAATGAAAGCCAACTCCCCCTCCCCCTTGATTAGACCTTAAACTACATTCCCACAATTCCTTGTTTTTTTTTACTCAATTCCGACTTTATGCATAATTCGACTCCAGTTTCTCTTTTATTATTTGAAAAAATATTTCAATTTACACTTTTTGCAGACATACGTATCCTTGCAAAAACTCTTATTGACTTTCTCCAGCCACCACCAACGCCTAATATATTTTTAGCTCTGCAATAGTGCCCTTAAAATTGTTAATAATTCCTAATTTTAAATTCATATTTGATGTATATATTTTTTTTATAATTTTAAATATATTATTATAATTACATTTTAATGTAACGAAACAGTTTAGTTGTATTCCAGCCCATATTTTGAATCCACCAGAAAACTCTATTGTAATAGATGCTTGTGCTTCTCCGGGCAACAAAACAAGTCATTTAGCTTCGATCATGAAAAATACTGGGTGAATATTTTATTTTTAAATCCTATTGTAAATTTAAAAAATTTATTATTAGTTCACAAAAAATATAGTAACACATGAAATAGTAAGCTTTAATTATAAAAATATTAAAATCTATTAAATAAATTTTTAAGCTATGACCAAAATCTTTTTAAAAAATTCCAAACTTCCGCAAATTTTAATGAAATCATATGTTAAATTTTTGAAATGTATAAAATTTTCTAGAATTATATAAAATTTCACATACGATCTTGTTTTTTTAAAATAGTATATTTATTTATTTTTTATAAAGTTTCGAAAGTTTGGGAATTTAGTTTTTTAATATTTTGGATACAGCCTGACACTCAGGCCAGACAGACATGGGTATCAAAATTCTTCGAAAAAAATATTCGGGCCAGACAGACTCGGACTTTGTTTTTTAAAAGCTAAAACAATTTTTAATTTTAAACATTTTTTTAGCAATCTACAAACCTATTTTATTATTTTTCGTAAGGCTATTTCTAGACAGAACGTTTTTTCAGAGCGGTTTTTGGGCAATGTTATCAGCAATCTTTTTTTAAAGGATACTAACTTGATGAATTAATTTTTTATATATAATACTATTTTAAAAAAACATGCCTGAGCCACATTTCAAGATGCCATTTAATCGTTATTAAAATTGAACCAGTTTGTTTTCTATTTACGATTAAACGATTAAAAAAATGGGGATTTGGATTCTTTTTTTTTTAAATATTACATTATATAAAAAAATAAATTCGTCAAGTTAGTATCCTTTCCCTTTGTTTGGAAATAAAAAAAGATTGCAGGTAACATTACCCAAAAACCGCTCTGGAAAAGCGTTCTGTCTGGAAATGGCCTAATATTGTATTCTTAAAATATTTTTAAAACATTCTTTTTCAGACGCTTTATGACAATTAAAATAATTAAATAAGAAAAAAAAATTGTTTTTTGTGGGAAATTAATATTATTTTAAGAAGTAAAATTTTTTTTTATTTTTCTATAGTTTCTTTGGTCATTTCATGCCCACCTTGAAAAATTGAACGAGTTTTTAATTCGAACCCTATCTCTCTTAGGGGGATTAAAGTAATTTGCCTAATTGAATATTGTATTATTCATTTTACATTATATTTTTTTTGATCTATGAAATAATATTTTCCCTTAATAATTAATGATATTCACTTATCTTACATCTTAAGTTGGAGGTCTGAAAAATCCGATCTCTTAAAACGCATTCTTGGGTCAGGTTGGATATATGGAAAAAAATTTCCCAGTCGGAAATTTAAAAAATATAATAATTTTTAAAATGTTGTTATGGCATTTTGTCTTTAAATAAAAATAATGCTTTATCATAGTATATTAAAAAATTTTCCTTATAAGTTTGATATACGCCGTTGAACAAGATTCAAACAGAATGAAGGTGATAAAGAATAGATTACCTAAATTCGGAATCAAGGAATCGGAAAACATCATGTGCATCCAGGACGATTTTACATCTTTAAACCCGCTTGATCCACGCTTCTCAAACGTTCGTTATATTTTGGTAGATCCTTCATGCACTGGCAGCGGTAATTTTATTTATATTAATTTATAGTTGTAATATATGACACAGTTTGTCAAAAAATAAATTATATTTATATTTCGCACAAAATAAAAACTGAAACGCTCAGAATTTTTTATTAAATTAAAGCGAATAAAAGATTAATTTTCATACTCTACATCTTCGAAGTAGATAAAATTAGAGAGGGAGGGGTTTAGAAAAAGTTCTAGCATAATATCTCAACTTGGATATCAAATAAATGCTAATTTAAAGATCAATTAATTATATTGATACTCATCTCTTCAGAGTGGGTAAGGTAGGGTGATACTCATCTCTTCAGAGTGGGTAAGGTAGGGTTAGGGGTTAATTTAACAAAATATAGCGACTTAATAAGGAAATCGATTTTTACATTGATGATAGTAACTCTACCTCTTCAAAGTGAGTGCTCTGGGATTGAGAAACTTCTAGGGTTATATTTCGAAAAAGAGAAATTTATTGTATCTATAATTATGACTATTATTCAGACTAAAAATTCTAACATAATATTTCAATATTGGAATCTTATAAACGCTTATATAAAGATCTACTGATAACATTGTAATTTTTACTCATCACTATGTCTAGAGACTTTCTGACTTTCTACCATTTCAAACATGGGTGTTATGTAAAAGATTCCCAGATGTTTAATTTACTCCATTTTTATCTAACCAAAACCATATTTACATCAAATAATTCATTTTTAAAATAAGCCTTCGTAACTTGTAATTTTTATTTTGAGAAGCCAGAGATAACATCTTCATTGAAATTATAGGGTGCAGTAAGTAGTCCATGAGAAACGTAAGAGTCCAATATTTTTTTTGAAAATTTATAATTGTATACAAATTCTTAAAATCAATAGTACTAATAAGGAAAAGTATTTCTGAACAATTAAGTAAATAGTCCTTAGCGATTCATTTTTTAATCTAAGCATTTCAGTTTTATGCCTGAGCATATAGTATTTTTTTAGGGCAATTAAATTATTTATCTGAACATTAATAAATATTTTTGGATTATTTACTATTTTTTTCTGGGCATTAAGTATTAAATCTGATTCTGAGTGTTTAAGAATTTTTCTCAGCATTTCAGTTTTAATCCTATACTATTAAATATAAGCCATATTAATATTCAAATTGATTATTTTTCAATTTTAAAAAAACTTTTCTTTTCTTTCAATCCACGTTTTTAACTGAATCTATTAAGTTTACCTGTTGCCAGGGTTGGGCAGTCTCGTGAATACTGTGTAAACACTTTTTTATATTTATTTGAATAATTTAGAGATTATTTGCCATTTGTATCTTAATAAATTTTTTATCATTTGAATTATAAATGTAAAATCCACATTTTATTTATTAAATATTAATTTTGTGAAATGCGTTAGCGGAAAACATTATGATCCTATCTTTTCCTAGGGCTGTGCCGATATTAAATATCGGATCGGTTCGGCACCGATATTTAATGTTTCTAAAAAATGTCGGATCGGGCCGATACCTGTAAAAACCGATCCAATCCGATTTTTTTGCTTTTCTTTTTTTTGTTATTTTATGTATATTTACTTTACATTAATAATATTTTCTAATAAATTTTTTTTTTAAACAATGCAAATGCACAAACCCCTTAAATTTTATTTATTTTTTTAAATAGATTTTTTAAAAGTTTTTTTTATAAAAATAGAAAGGAACACCCAATTATTTATTTTAAATCTTTTTAAATAATAACGCCAATTTTATTATTTATACTTTAAAAGAATTTTTTAAAATATGGTATCTGAATTATAGAAATATTTTACAAACGACAAACATAATTTTGCAAAATGTGTTATCTGCGGAATTCTAAATTCACAGGGAGGAATAAAGAAAAATTCATTTATACTACCAATATCCGTAAGCTTTTTTTAATTATTGTAGAAATAAAAAAAATAAAATTAAATGTATAATTCGATTTTTTGCTTAAAAAATATTGATTTCTTAATTACATTTGGTTAATGGGGATGATAAAAAATCAGTATAAATATCGGATTGGTATCGGTATCAGATCGGGTTTGAACCAATACCGGAAAATATCGGATCGATCGGTGAAAAATATGTGGATCGGCACAGCCTTACTTTCTTCCTATTTCATTAAAATGAAGCGATATTCAAAATGAAAATGAAGAAATGATTTTTTTGAATATGATGGAAGATATAAATTCCAGTTCTACAGAGTATTTCTTTTTAAGATATGATGTTCCTAAGATATTTTTTTCAGAATATCTGGAAGAGTTTCCCATTCTTTAAAATATCTTATTTTTCTTTTAGCCTATCTAGTAAGAAAGATCTTACAATAAATATGTAATTTAGTATGTAAATCAGAGACCTATAAAAGTACCATTTGCACTGCCTGGCCCAGATTTTTTAAAAATTTTTCTGCCCTGCCCAGATTTTCTACAAATGTATTACATTTATTTTTAATTTTTCTAGCTAATAATGACAATTTAAAATATACGGCCTGCTAAATATTTTTTTAAAAAAGTTTTAGGTCCGGCCCAGCCTCACCTATATTTAAAAAAATGAAATATGTGGGTTGGGCCAGCAGGTCTCTGATGTAAATTAAATATAATATCTCGATTTATCATCTCGCTCAAATAATAAATTAGAATTCTAATTATCTTAATGATAGACTCCTTATTTCATTTCAATATCTGAGTGTTCTCACTATGGATAGATGATGTTTTATATTATGTTAATATCGAATTTTACATATGTTATAATATAACTGTATATTAATTACTCCTGTAATTTCCTGGTTAAATAGTTTTAAAAAAAAATTATATAGCCAAACATTATGCTGGTATAAAATCTTTTTCTAAAAAGTATTCGTACTTAAACACTTTTTTGTAGGTATTTAGTATTTAAAATACATTTTTTAAACATATTTGTATTTAAATTCAAATAATATTAAATCTATTTGTATTTATATTCGATTGTAAATTTTTTCTAAATTTGCCTAACCTTGCTTGTTGCATTATGCTGAAAAAGCAGTCTCCATCGTTGTTTCAAAGATAATCTAAATATGAAAAAGCTTTTCAATGCTAGTTGATTGAAGAGGATAAAATTGTAAGTTTCCATGCCTTGCTTAACTTGACAGACATGTTTTGGAAAACACAATATATGAACTAAAATTACTTCGTAATTGTCCTTTTATAATATGTTCAATATACTAAAGTTTCCCACCATTCGTATAGCATTATCTCTTTTATCACTTAATGTCTAACGAACTTCCCTATATTTAACATAAAACAATCGCCAAAAATTTAAATTAAATAAACCCCCAAATAAAGTTCTTATCGAGATTCTAACAATTTCACTTCGTTAGTTTTGATTCTATAAAACTAATATAATAATAATTTAGATATTTAAGACTCGATCTAAAACTTTAATCCTATAAATTAATACTGTTTAAATTAAAATACTTAAATTAGCAATCTGTGAGTACTCATTATAATAATGAATTTTAAGGGTATTACTATCTTGTTATATCTAAAAAAAAATGTTTTTACAAAAATAGGTATATTTAAAAGGGTAGAAACACAATCACTTTCTTCGGATGCTCTAAATGGACTGAATTGCCCAGATAGGTTATTTTAAAATAAGTGTATGTGATTCAAAATTATTATATATATATCTGAGAGCTGCAGAAGTTGAATTTTTAGGCTCCGACATGCCCGGATTAATTTTATCAAATTTCAGGCCAGCTATATATTTTTTTAAAATAATTTTGTGGACTTCATGCAGATTTTATTTGCTATATGGCCAGAGTTTTATGATTTCATTATTTTAAATAATTTTGTAAATTGTTTCAAAAGGAAATTGACGATATGAGCAGCAAATGAATGCTAAAAGATCTTTTATATGATTTCCCAGCTAGTATTAATTGTTTTAATTTAAATTTTTGATGCGGCCCTAATTTTGTAAAAAAAAATAAATAATATTTTTAAGCCTGGCTTATTAATAAAATCAACATAATATCATGGGCCAAACGTGCAGGTCTCTTATGGATTTGATTTTACATAATACTCATTTTTTAATTATATAGATTCAATATATTATTTTTTCTATCTTTCATAGAATCTCTCGTCTAGCCACTTTCCAGAGCAAAATTCTACTCCACGCTTTTAGTTTTCCAGCCGTTAAAAAAGTCGTTTATTCCACCTGTTCCATAAATTTCGAAGAAAATGAATCGGTGATCAAAGAAGTTTACAAAAACGTTCGACAGGATTTTTATTTAGCTCCCGTTATGATGAAGGAGTTTCCTACTCTCAGGGGTTCGTATTATCACGAAAATTTTCACCCCGAAAATAGTCAAAAACTAGAAAAATTGCGGACATTTTATGAAAAATGTCTCAGAACTGTACCATTCAAACCTCATAAAACTGAACACTTCTCTAAGAATAAATCTAAATCTGCCATCAAAAAACAGAAAAATGATGATGTAGCCATCGATCCCGAATACCTTGAAAATTTTGAGATAATAGAGAACGGGTTTTTCGTGGCACTTTTTATAAAGAGAAAAGTGGCTCTCATAAAATAAAAATTTTATATTTTACTATGTCTAAATTGATATTATTTTTACAATCATTTGTATCGTGTTGTATGCATACTCAAAAAAACGAAATTTATTAATAATTTACATGATAAAATATAGGTGAAGCTTTGGAAAAATTTATAAATTTTTTTGGTATTTTTTAATGGTTCTGGGCCAACAAAATTTTTCTGGATTCTGTACTGGTACAAATTCGAATATTTTTTTTTAAAAATAGATATTTGAAGTTTCCATTTTATTCATGCAAGTGCCGCTTAGTAGAATTCTTTATAAAAATTGTATTATCTGCTAAATCCCTTTAGAACTTACGAACTAATCTTCTTAGTTATTTATTTTATTTCATTTTTCTTTTAATGAAATATTGTACACGTTTAAGGTCTTTAATAATTACAATTTTATTTTGAAAAAGAAGAATTAAAAATATGAATACTGTAAATTTTCGGCTTTTAATAAATATAATTTGGATTATAAATGAAAATAATAATTAATATGATCACACTGAAATAAACAAGACTCATAATGAGTCTCACAATTTAACCCACTAGCAGTTAAATATAATCCGAAAGTAAAATATACGCGCTATTGTTATAAGCCAAAAAATTATTGCACGTTAACAAAAATAACAAAATAAACTTGGATTATAATAATTTTGTTGCATGTTCGATCAATTTTATTATGAGAAAACTCCCTTTAGGCTGTGCCCTAGATCGGCCGCTATTTAGCATCGGCTAAATAGTCAAAAAAACAACCCAAATAAACAAAAATCGAGAATAAAATACGAAAAATAACAAAGCCTCCAAATACTTAAAACAAATCAAAATAGGGTGTTCTCATTCAAAAACATTTTAGCTTATAATGAAAGTAATTAAGTTTACAAATTAACGCAACTTAGGAAAAATTTAATTATAATAGAATTTGAAAAATAGTAATCAAGTTAGAGCAGCTCTATTTATAAACATTTAAAAAAATTAATAGGTTAAATATTTTATCCCTGGAATATTTGTAATTCTTAATATTTGAATATATGCCCTAGTTGTAGAATTTAATCTTGATACCGGAGTTTTAGCCAATCTTGCGGAATTTCGATCAGGAGTCATTGGCAAAATGTAGATATAAGAAAGTTCGACCTCTGATATAGCGAAAAGACCATTGTCTGCACCAAGCTATGCTATGAGATATATCACTTCTCCAGGGATTGCTTCCTTGGAGAGAATTTGGTCTTAATTGTTATATAAAAGGTAGGAGGTACTTTGTATTGTTGTTAAAAAGTGGAAATTTTACACGGAGTCATAAAATACCACTTCAAATAACCCGCTAATAAAATGCAAGAAGCAAACTACATCTACTCCCTCCCCCTCCCGCACTCATGTAGGCGCTGATGTAACGCTATTATATTATTAATGCTTTGGAATCGATTTTTGAATTCTGGCTAAAAAATAATCTTTTAATTTACTATAAAATTTAAAAATGAGTCTTTCATTATGACCAGGGTTGCCAAGTGAAAATTTTCAAATTGCGGGAGAAAATTTTCAAATTGCGGGAGAAATATAAAAATTCCGGTAGAAAATAATAATTGCAAAAAATTTGCGGGCCATCGGCCTGGATTTTGAATTGTATTTATCCTGTTATTATTATTATTTAGTTTATATAAATACAAAGTTGGTAACTATTTTTCAAAATAAAATAACATCTTGATTTATTAAAATATATTAATTTATAAAAAAACCAACGATCTTTTTTAAATATAAAAGAATGTAAATAAGATAAAATTTTATAAAAAAAAATGATTTTAATTTTACAATTAAAAATATATTTTATACGAATGTCCCACAAAACAACCGCAATTGGAAATCTACCGTGTGTGTGGCTTAATTATCACGCTTAAATACATAATAAGGTACTCCTAAAATAAGAAATAATACAGATGAAACTACAGTTGCGGCAATTGTAATCACTTATCTTGTAGTACAACATTCACAGAGATATTTATCATCACAATGTTGGTAGAATCTTTTCCCCATAATATTTAACGACTCTAATATTAATGAAAACTATACTTGTAGAACAAAAATGAGCAAGGCAATCATCAATGTTTTAGGACTTAAATCCAGGAGGTCAATTCTTGACGATTTGAAAAATGGGCATACATATGCAATTCTAATAGATGCATCTAATAAGCTCCGCTATTTCATCTAAATTAAGGTCGTTTCAATAAAACTATTAAATTTTTTCCCCTCAAATAGTAAAACATCCAAAGACATAGCTAACCATATAATGGTAAATATAGCAGATTCGAGATTATCAATAAATTGCATGTCAGCTTTATGATCTGATAATTAAAATAATAGGTGGAGTGAATTTGGTAAAAACAGATATTTACAGAATTGAGTCAGCACAATGTTGGTTGCGATATGTTCCTAATACCCGCCATCGATAGAATTTTAAAATTTTATAAACCTTTATAAATATATTTCTTAAATAAATATTATAAAAGCTGTCCTAATATTTTGAAATTTTTTTTCAATAATGAATGGCAAAGGTATATTTAGAAATGATTTCACATGTAGGAAATCTACTACATGCTGTTAATGTGTAGTTGCAATCAGAATAATCTTAACAAAGATTCACAAAATTATGCTGCAGATGTGTTCATCTTTACAGTTAAAAATTGACAATAAATTTTATGGTGCCATTGCTAAAACTTAATTATATTTTATTTGAGATTTAAATAATAGAACTAAATGTTTACCGTCGTTATTGAGGTATTTATAAAATTCCTATAATGACATATTATATATTTGTATAACCATTAGCTCCTCTAATGTTAAAGCAATCCGATTTCTCTCCTTTTTCCCGGCAGTCCTCATCAGGCTAAAAAGCGCTCGGATGAGGCATTAGAATGAGGTAAGGAGAATACATACTCTCATATTTTTTCTAAGCATGGGGATTTATCGTTATTACGAAAATATTCTACCCATTTCTCCTCTGCTTTTAGACTATCTAACTTAAAGTATTTTGGCGAATCATAAAAAATAGAGAGAATTCAATCTCCTCAAACAAGAAATCAATGTCTTTCGGTATTTTTAATATATTTATTAAATTTTAAAAACCATTCATTGATGGTTTCTGTTCCAAGGTCATAATATTTATACATTTATAAATAGAGTTATTAAAATCAAATTTTGATTGTAAATATTCTAAAATTGTCAATAAAAATATCTGCTTTATTTAAAAATGTATTAATTAGAGTATTATTTGAACATTTTAATATAATATTTTTAGCAATAGCGCCATAAAATTTATTATCAATTTTTAATTGTAGATATGAACAAAGCTATAGCATGATTTTGTGAATTTTTTTTATAAAGAATATTCTGATTGCAACTGAATATTAACTGCATCAAGTAGATTTCCTACATGTGAAACGAATCCCAAATATGCTTCTGCCATTTCATACTCGAAAAAATTTTTTAAAATTTTCGGACAGCTTTTAAAATATTTATTTAAGAAGTATTTTTTTAGGGTTTGTAAAATTTTAAAATTCTATCGATGGCAGGTATTAATGACAACCACCTGATAGGTATATATCGCAACAACTCACACCATTCCAAGTCAAACCACTTCACCAACTCTTTTAATTCATTAAATCTTTTAGTTGATGACTAAATTCGTTAAAACATTTCATCACAATTATTTCGACATCCACAGATTAGTACATTTATTGCCTTGTAAGAATTATGTAGTATATGGCATATACAGCCAATTGGTATTAATTCATTATTGTTCTGCCTTAATTCGGTAACTTTGGTTTTTGCGAAAATTTTCAGAGGCATTATCAGCGCAGAAAGCTGACATGCAAATCATTGATAACCCAGAATCAGCTATATTTACCATTATGTGACTAACTACATTGTTGGGTTTTTCACTATTCGAGGAAAAAATTTTAACAGTTTTATTGAAATGTTCTTATTCTTGTTGAAATAGCGAAGGATCGAGGTAAATTTTTTAATATTTCCCTTATTAGATGCAGCTGTTAGAAAAGCAAATGGATGCCCATCTTTCAAATGGTCTAGAATTGATTTCTAGGATTCTGGTAACACTTGTGATAGCCTTGCTCATTTTTGTTCTGCCAACAAGTAAGGTTTGCACTTATTTTGGAGACGTTAAATATCATGAGAAAAAGATTCGACCCACATTGTGATGATATAGCTCTGTGAACTACATGGTAGATGTATACGATTTTCGCAAATGTAGTTGCATATGTATTATTTACTATTTTTGAGAATATTTTTGTATTGCAATCGATGTTGATATACTTCCCTGTACTGACTTATATGAATGAAATGATGTAGATTTATTATTGGATAAAAATAAACCAGGATAGAAAGAAATTTACAAACTATACATGTTTTTCGAATAAATATTTAAAATTTATTTTAAAAATATAAAAATAATCAATTAATGTCTCTCAAAATTATTATTTATATATTAAAAACGTTAAAATACTTTAAAAAAAATAGCGGTAGATTTTTGCGGGAGATTTCAAATAGTTGTAGTTTTGCGGGAGAGATATGTCTGCGTGTAAATTAAAAAATTGCAGGAGTCTCCGGCTGATGGGGGGAGACATGGCAACCCTGCTTATAACACCAATGTGTAAGAGGTTGATATAAAAAAAATATGTTTTCATATAATTTTAAATATATTTAGTGAATCCAATATCAAAAATATTATTAAAATCTGATCACGAAAATGGGACGTCTCAAGCTAAGTGACATATTTTAAAACAGATATATTATACCTTGTTTATCACATTCTACATTTTTTTATTAGCGAAAAAAAGATTAAACCAGTTCAATTTATAATATTTTCTGTAGATATCCTTAAGCTTTAAGTCATATCAAAACTTGAATAGAACTTAGGCTAAATCGTTTTAGCTCAGCCGTTTAACAATGTGATAAAAAATCTCATGTAGGTCATTGAACCATTCAATTTGAAGTGAGCATTGGGACTCACAACTTCGATAGAATTTCGGCTGTCAACTCAGCTTAGCCGTTTAACAGCACTATTCATTTTGATGGTCATAATCTTATATATTTTTTCTTATATTTTCTACAAGTCTAAAAGGATGTGTAATACATTATTATAATTTTAATTAAGAAAAAACTTATATGTATGACACGATAATCATATATTTTTACAATTGTATTGTTAAAATCATAGTAATTCTATATAAAATTGTATTAATTCCATATATAAAATTATTATATATAGTTCTAGAATATCATAAATAAATACCTGTATACAATTATCAATTGTGAAACCTTTTTCAGGCTCTTTCAAAAACTTTTGATATTTATTTTACCAGAATGAATTCGATACAGATATTGTACATTTATTATAAGATCTTTATTTTCCCAATATGAATAAAAATAAGAATAAATACTTTAACAAGCAGTCGATCGTAACTGTGGGGGTTCATTTTTATATTTGCTTTCAGGGACATGGAACAGTACGTTTCTGAAACGTTACTTGGGGAAAATATGGAACAAGATAGGAATTGGTGCTATGGATAAAGTTTCTGTAGCCATTTAGAAGTTCTGTAAACAATAATAATAAAAATTTAATTTATTACATAATTAAACTAATCCGCTTATACTGAATTATACATTCACTAGTTTATTCAATCTTTAATACATACATTCACAAGGTTGTTAAACATATAGAATTGATTGCGAAAATTATAATTGATGCATAGGTGTTTGGAATATATATAATCATTATAGCCATATCTAATTAAATCATAATGTATGAATGGTATATTACAATATCCTATAATTTAAACTACAATTGTTACCAAGTTGGTCTTTTTGACAATCAAATTTATATGAACAAATATAAATGATAATATTTTAGAAAATGTCTTAATTAATACTACATGATGTAAAAATTAGCATAATGTATAAAAGTAAAAATAAAATAAATATTTTTAGGAACGCATTTTTGAACCTTTCAATGGAACGGGAACGAGATATCTTTTATTGGCCGGAACGGGAATAAAAAATAACCTAAAAGCCCTTTGTTCCAGTCGGCCCTGATCACTATGCTTTATTTATTCTTAGTTTGAACTATTCTTTTTTTTTACTTTACCTTGTACCCAAATGCCATTTGGAAACTTTAAATAAGGAAAAGGGAAAAATGGATGTGGAGGTTATAAACGATAGCGAAGACTTGGCATTTTCAATTATTTTCCAAACTCATAAAATATGGAAAATTATAATTGAATTATAATGAAAGCTGCCTTATTTTTTAAAAATTCTAAAAAATTAGAACTGATTCAACGGTTAAATGTTCCCATATTCTCAATCAAAGACTCCTCAAACTGATTATTAATTATATACTATAGTGCATATATATCGACGGGGAGTTAGTTCTCTTTATCATATAAGTAGATGGCTTTTTGACGGGCTCAATACTTTGAACTATTTGCCATATTTAAATAAAGTATATTAATGATCTTAAAGTGAATCCTTATTATAAAATAAATATTACTAGTAGATAGATCGATAAAAATGTTTGGGAATGAGAATTTTCTTCGATCTTTTATAATAATTGTTACATTTTATTTAAAAACCAAATTTTTATTCTTTTTACCCCCCCCCCCCTCCACCCTTTAATACCAGTTCAAACCTATAAGATTAAGTGTCAATACTATTTTTTGTGTCAAAATATATCTATAGTTTTAACATGAGACCTTATAAAAAAAAATTTTGTACCAGGTATGTTCTAATATCTTTTATAAGAAATAACAAATCTTACCTAGTTTAAATTAGAGATAACCCAAAATATTAAGTTATTTAGAAAAATAATGATTGAAGTCCACTGTAACAATTCTACTTTGATTTTTCATTATGCTGAAATGTTTGCATCATTATTTGTTATTCATGAAATAAAAATAATAATATTTTATCCTGTAAAAAAATTTATTTTGATTTCTAGCCCTAATTTAATTCAGGTTTTTATATATGAAAAGATGATTCTTATACTTTTTATACTATGATTAATTAAAATTATATCTAGAAAATAAATTATTGTTTATTAATGTATATCTTACATTTTTTGAAATTATTTATCAAAGAATTTGATAAGGACCATTTCTAGAAACAAATTTTTTTATCTATTTAAACAAAAATGCGATACCATATAAATAAAACTTAATTGCTATTTATTTAATATTTTTTAAGAAATTTGTTTTTCTTGTCAATCCACATAAATTTTCAATATTTTTTTTTCTGATACGTTTTTCCGCATTTTTTTTCTGATCGGCTTCAAAAATTGATATTTTCTTATGGCCTCATGAGTATAATGCTCACCTTATCTTAACGACAATTATCTAAGTGATGATATGAAGCTGCACATTCGAAAAATTAGAATCATGGCAAATAATTCCTGGACATAAATACTACTAGTAAAGTACCCTAAAAAATAAAAATACACCAATTTTCAAATAAAAGTAAACGCTAAAAAAAAGGAGAACATTTTTAAATGACCTTTCCAAATTATCATAGAAATTTTTCTAAAATTGGGGATATTTGTTCGATGTTTTTTATCCCTATGCGATATTTTGTCCAGTGTCATTTTTTCCAGGATATTCTTGTCCCTTTTATTCATAACATTTCTACCCGTGATTCAAAGAATAATATAGATGGATTAATAACTTGCTTACAATTTAAAACATTTAACCAAATATTTTTGAACTGTGTATTTAATTTAAATACTACCCAAAGTAATTGATATTACTTACCCAATTTTTATTAAAAACTCCTGGAATGTGTTGTCCTTTATATATGTTGTGATGTCCTAATTGATCGCTATCTATTAACTAAAAGATTGATTTTTTTTATTCTTTATATTAAATTAACTTGTAGCAATCTATGTCTCTGAATAATTTCTGGGTGAAAGTAATTTAATGATATTATGTACTACTATTGGATTAAATGTTGAGTTTTTTTATTTTAGAGAATACCAATATAACTTAATTGAAGAACAGTTGAAGTTAGGATTCATTTGATTATTTTACATAATTGAAAATTTTTAAAAATTATTATTATTATTGAGGCATTTGATCAACGTACAAGCTACAAAATGGCGCTACAGCTGATTTCAATGTGTGGACGTTTTTTTATGCATGATCGCCAATCTATAGTTATATATATCATTGCTCTAAGCTTAATATGTAATTTACCAGATGGTTTATTTTTGGTCATGAAAACAGTGTTACAAAGAGAGTTAGATTCAAGTTATGATGAAGCATTGTGTACATTAAAATATTTATGGAATTATTAATCGGCTACAGAAATAAAAGAAAATTGTTCTAATTAAAATTTTAGTAAATCTAATAATGAGAATTATTATAAAAATAGAAAATTAGACAATAAATATGATAAAGCATTATAAGAAAAGAAATTATCATTATAATTGTAAATTTATTAGTATCATAAAAATATTGAATTAAAACCAAATATTCAAAATGAAAGAGATTCTTATAAACTAAAAGAAATAAATTATATAATAAAATTTGAAACATTTGTGATTATAGAAAATAAGGAAATAAACTTTAAAGAAAATAAGGAAATAATCATTAAAGAAAATAATGAAATAAAAACTTTTATAATTGATAAAAAATTAAATATAACTGTGAAAATAAAGAAATGTAAAACAATTATTATTAAGAGAGACAAGGTGAAAGTTAAACATCTTGATGATAAAAAAGTTTTTAAGAATATGATATGGAAATCATATATTAGAAATGGCAATAAAATTCTTTTTAGAAAAAATAATTCAAAAATAATTTATGATATGAAAAAGTTGTTTATATTGAAAAACAAGGGATTAAAATTTAAAAAAATAAAAATAATTGAAATTTAATATTAATAAAAAATTATTATATAAACGCTACAATTAAAGATATTTAAAAAAAAAGATAAAATTGAAAATTAATATTGATAAAAATTATTATATAAAACGCTATTATTTAAAACGCAATATTTATAATATAATAAAATTAAAATAAAACGCGACCAATTATTTATTTCATTCCAAATATTCAATATTTGATTAATTTATTCTGTTTCAAATAATCTTATCAAATTCGTTAAATTAATTCTATTTCGATTATTCGACGATTCTTGTTTTATTACGACGTTATTCAATAAATAATACCTGCATTCTATAATCATTCAAAATCTTCTCATATATATTTAATAACAAACAATGATAATAATTAACAGAACAATGACATATAATTGTCATTGTAACAGAAGGATGACAAAGTAAAATCATATGACAACTAAACCGTTTATCAAAGATTTGGAGGGAGTAAGACAAGATAAGAAAGTTTACGAACAAATACTCAGATGATGCCATATATTGAGAACAACAGACTTTATGATAATAATTACAAACATTAGTTTAGACAACCATGGCAGATTTGACCATATTATGGCAACCAAAGATTTATCAACTAAAATAACTTTCATTTTCCAAGAGGAAACTATGACAGATTTTCTGATCAAAATAGATAAGAAACTCCTTGAACACGAAAGATTTATGTCTAAAGAGAACCTAGGCGGAATTCCTTTAGAGGGTGGAATATTGTGATGTCCTAATTGATCGCTATCTTAACTAAAAGATTAATTTTTTTATATTTTTTATATTTTTTATATTAAATTAACTTTAACCTCGCGGACTCGTTTTATAAAATTAACTCAATAATTCGATATAAATTAATTGATAGATTTTGTAAACTATATAAGCGTAGAAATTTATTGTACTTGGAAGTTAAAATATTTTATATATATTTTTATATATCAAAATCTTAAATTTTTAGTTAAATCTTGTCTAACTCCCTGCTAACCTTAACAATAATAGTCAAATTCCATAAAAGTTTAATTATTTATGAAGTCACATGATATATGACAGATGTTACGTTTACCTTTTAGTGATATCGTTGTCAATACGAGACGATTCATTATTCAAATATTCATAATAGTGGACAATTAAGGAAATTACGATCATATTTAATAAAGACATATTAAACTGTTTATATCACCCATTAATATTGTATCTTTGAGGTATTGTTTTTTAAACCATTCGCGTTTAGATTTTATTTTTGAATTAAAATTTTCTGTTATTTCTTATTACCTTAAAATAACTTTTATTATTATTTTGGTAACTTAAATATATTATTTTTTATTACATTAGTGTACATTGACATAAAATAATTTTTATCATTTTTTACTTGCAGTTATATGAGTTTTTTTAATATTATTTTATGTATATATCTGTTAACTTAATACTTATTTTTTTATGAATAAATTGTAAATAGCTTGATGGTATATATACAGAAAGGCATTCTATTTTATGTGAGAATTAAATATCAGAATAATGGATTTAGCTATTTATGATCTTAACAAGACTTCTACTTATTTTACCAAAGATACTTATATATGGCTGCCAGATGAAAAAAATGTATGGATAAGTGCAATGATAATAAGTATTGGCATAAATAATAATTTTATGCTTAAATTTGAAGATGGAAGGGTATTTCTTATACATATATATATATATTTTACATTACTTATTATAGGAAAAATCGGTTAAATTTGATGCAGCTAATCCACCTCAACTGAAGAACCCTGACATTTTTAAATCAGAAGATGATCTAACATCCCTGAGCTTTCTCAATGAGGCTTCAGGTTTGACCAGTTTTTTTTTTGCTTAGACAATGTAAACTTTGATATTATTTATTCAAAAATTTGGCTTATATAAATAATATTCAGTTTTACAATATTGGGTTTTTATTTAACATATTTCAATACTTTTAATTTCTGCCTTGAAAAATATTATTATCAGTTATACATAATTTTAACTCAAAATAATTTGATTTAATATTTTTATATTTAGGATATTATAAAATTAATTGAATTACATTAGGTTTTTGGGAGAAGCAAAATTGTTATTGGGTTTTTATTTAACATATTTCAATACTTTTAATTTCTGCCTTGAAAAATATTATTATCAGTTATACATAATTTTAACTCAAAATAATTTGATTTAATATTTTTATATTTAGGATATTATAAAATTAATTGAATTACATTAGGTTTTTGGGAGAAGCAAAATTGTGCTTAGTAGAGCCAAATTTAATTTGGACAACTTAAATATTTTGTATTTTTAAAAAATTGTGGGCATGTATAAAAAATAAAATTGATTAATCACATATCATGGAAATGATTTATCATACTTATTTATTTTCCAAGGCATATTTTAATGATTATTAGTTTTTAAATTTTTTCCCCAGGATTTATAGTTATTTAGCATCAAAAATTTTTTTTAAAATAAATTGTTAATATAATAAAATTAAAAAACTCTAGGCATATCATCTTTGAACAAAATTTTAATAGATTATTGACCTCATATTTCCTATATTGTTTTGATAAAAAATGATTAGAATAAAAAAAAAATAGAATGATATTTATATTTCTTTATAGGTATTTAAATTGAAATTTATCATTCAAAATTTCTATTCAAATAATGAATAATTTTTGAATAATATTATAATTTTTGGATAATGAATAAAATTTGAATTACCTTTGATAGATTTTGTCAATGATATTTTACAACCTACTCCACCTAAGACATTCAAAAACGAATATGAATTGAAGAGTGCATTATTTGTATGAAGAATAATTTAATATTCATATTTGTACAAATACTATTAGTATTTGATTTAAATAATTCGTTTTTTGAAAATGAAAAATTTCATAAAATATAGTGACAAATTTTTTTTACTGCACCTCTAAATTTAAAAAGAAAAATTGTTAGAATGATTAAATTTTTATTAAAAAACAATAATTATTAGAATAAAAGCACTCATCTAAATAATTCATCAAATATTCTATTATTTCGTTTTTGATTCTAAGAATTATTTATTCAGATTTTAATAAAAAAATAATTTATTACTATTTTATTCAAACCATTCCAAACATAATCGTTTTTAAATAAAGCTAGTCTATCTAATTTTGCCCTTAAATTTATTATTAAAAAAATTAGCCTTGATTTTATAATATTTTGTATTTCAATTCACAAATATCTAAACCCGTTTTTGCCAATCCCTAGCAATCCAATTGCCTTTTGACTCTTTAAATTATTTACAATTAGGGCTTGCCGGATCCACAAATTTTTTACCTATCCGTATTAATACAAAACCGATAACCGATACCTATATTTATATCATTTTAAGTTACTCTCTATCACCAATGTCACAATCACAAAAATTAACAAAAAGCCAACTATTGTTCACGAATGATCAAATATACATCTATATATATTTTTCTCAAAAATTTAATCATCTAATTTATTAAAATATGGGTAATATTTATAAGTTAAAGTAGTTTTCTTAAATATTTCGACAAGATTTTATCACTAATATTATTACTTATGCCTTTGCCAATAGCTCCACGCCTTTATACCATTCTATCGGCAATCTTTTAGCTAATTTTTTTTTTAACGAAAATCTTGAGCAAGCATTTTTGAAAATTAGATCCAATATTTAATATCGCACAACTCTATTTATAATAAAATTTTCCAATTCATTTATCGCAGCAGATAATGTGTGTCATTTTTATAATGACCTTTAAATTTAATATAAATTATTTTTAAAATCTAATCAAATTATAAATTTATTTTAAAAATAAACGATACCACCTTTAAAATAATTATTTATTTAAGAGGGGACAAATATAAAATTAAATTACCTTACTACAAAATAAATAAAAAATATGCCAATTCTTTGTAAAATGAAAATAATTTATTTTTAAAATTTTTTATATAAAATGAATATATATTAAATTTAAAAATACTTTAATGTCAATGTTCTCCTATTAAATAATAATAATTATAAATACAAATTTATGATTTCTTATATCCGAGTGATTTTAGTATAAATTTGATTGTAAAAAAAAACGAGATACCGGCTTTTATTAGCTATTGGCATTACTAATAAAGGTTGGCGCGGCCCATCACGTGGAATTTTTCAATCGCCTTTTTCGGCACGTAATTATTTTTACTCTTTCCTCAAAAAATATTTTGAACAATTTTTTTCCCTGCCCTGCCCGTTAGTCAGGACTGGCCGGCGTCTAAATTACGAATTTCAGAACCTTTTGATCATGATAAAATAATGTAAGCCTTTTATTTTCTTTTGATTTTCGAAGTCAAAAACTATAAAAAAAATTATATGAAAAAAAGAAGGATATATAGGAAATGTTAAATCTCTCCTTCCCATTCCAATCAATTAATTCATTGTTATTTAACACGCGAGAAAAATGTACAATATATGTTTTCACTTTTTTTAAAAAAATATTTATTTATGTCTGTGATATTAGAAACAGAATGTTACCTTAAATATTAGTTACATTATAATAATTTAAAAAATATAAAAATGATTCTATTATATTATATAACGATCTTATGACAATATTCGATAATATAATAATATAAACAATCATCCAAAAGTAGAATGGAGGAAGATTATTAAATGTGACACAAAAGTGAAATTTTTTATTATTAGAATAAAATGTATAATAAATTTCGGAAAAAAATGAAAGGTATGATGATTGTGTTTGTGAAATAATTATATGATATAATCATTATTTTTTAAAAAAATTCTTCAGTTATTGTGATAATTATAATTCTAAAATATATAATAGTTGACTAGATTGGTACCATCAATTTACTTTAAAAAAAAAATAATTTGATATATTCCAGTAGGAGGAAGGAAGAAAAAAGAAAAGAACGAATGGAGAGAAAGATATAATATATAATGAAAAAATATCATGAAAAAATAAATAAGGGTTAAATTTATTTTATTAATCCTGGTATATTTAACAGAGACCTGCAGAGGTACCATATGCACGGCCCTGCCCGGATTTTTTTAAAATATATTTTATTTATTTTTGATTTTTATAGCTAGTAATGGCGATTTCAAATATTTGGTTTTAAAATATACGGGGTCCGGATATATTTAAAAAATTAAAATACGGCCCGGCCCCTGTATCCGGGCTTAGGGCCGGGTCTGCAGGTCTGATATTTATTATTACTAGAAATTGACTGATTAATTTTTTACAAATTCAAGAATTTTAACCTTTAAATTTTTTTTGTAATGTCTTTTGAATTAAAAAAATACTTCTAGGGTTGGCATGATTAATTTTTTTGAATATAAATCACGATTTTAATCAATTTTCCTTTTTTTGCTTGTAATTTAAATAATTATTATTATAAATAAAAACATTTTATTATACCTTATTTTAATATATTTTACATAAGTTGTACTATACTAACCCAGTTTTGAAATGCTATTTATAGGATTTTAAAAATGAATACTTTATATCCAGTTTTTAACTTGAATTTTGTGTTAAAATTTTTTTTTTAAAGAATTTCTGTGTTTATTATTAAATAAAACCATATTTTGCTTATTCTTTTTGCTATGTATAAACTTTTTTTTATATAACGCTAAGTATTTTTGAAAAAGATTTAAAATACCGAGAATTCGGAAATGGATTTTTTAATATAATAAACTCTTATAAAAAATTATTTTACTTATTGTTGCTTATATTTAATGTAAAATCTCTAATTTGCCCTTGTATGTCAATATTTTGATTTTTCACCGATCCGATCCGATATTTTCCGATATTGCTTCAAACCCGATCCGATACAGATCCGACATTTATATTTAATCACCCCCGTTTGAACCAAATGTAATTTAGATATCAATATATTTATGCAAAAAATCGAATTATGAATTTAATTTAATTTTTTTATTTCTACAATTAAGACTATAATAAAAATATATATTTTTGCAAAATTATCTCTGTCTTTTTTAAAATATTTCCATAATTCAGCTACCATATTAAAAAAAAATCTTTTATTTAAAGTATAAATAAAAAAATTGGCGTTATTTAAAAAGATTTAGAATAAATAAAACTTTGGGTGTTCCTTTCTATTTTTATAACAAAAACTTTTAAAATTCTATAAATCTATTTTAGGCTGTGTCCTAAATATCAAAAATTGCATAAAAATTATTTCGCGCAATTTGCGCGAATTTAACGAAAAAAATAATATAAGCCATTTTTAATGGAAAATTAAAATGATGGCCTAAATGATTTTTTCGATTTTGCGCAAATCACATGATTCTTAAAAGTTATACGATTCGTAAAACTTTAATCATTTTTTCCTTAAACTTTTACAATTTGAGGGATTAAAATGGCAACTATTTATTAATGGAAAATATTAGAAGATATAGATATTTATGGTGCACTGGTGATCTTAAATATAGACACCGCTGCTAGCAAAATGAAATTAGAAGAGATTGGGAAGAACTTTGATCTTACATATGAAGAAATAAAGAAAAAATTTTCTGGAATAAAGGCAAAATTTAATAAAATTTATGTTTTTATGTTTAACTATAGCGGTGTCTATAGACTCCAAATTTATAAGAATGTAGTTGAATGTTTCCACATGCATGTGGAACATCTGACGAAATTTGTCAGGATAAGAAGGAATACTATCAAATATTTTAAAAAGTCCTTGATCTTTAGAATTAATTATAAATAATATCATATATACCGGCCTTCTAAAAATCTATGCCTTCTTCTACGCTCAGTCGTATCAACAAATAATATAAAAAATAGAAATTGTAAATCATTCATATCAAACATTTTAAAATTGAAAATAAATATGAATCGGGACATGTTTCGTATCTCCCAAATCTCCCGTAATTTTTGCGATGGCAAAAATTTTAAGAAATTTCTTTTTTGATTTAGAACTACAGCCTTAAAAAAGAAATAAAATTTAAAGAAATCTATTTAGAAAATATTACTAATAATGTAAAATGAATATACATAAGGCTATGTCCTAAATCAAAAAAAAAATTTATTAAAATTTTTGCGAATCGCAAAAATTACGGGAGATTTGGGAGATACGAAACATGTCCCGATTCATACATTTATTTTCAATTTTAAAATGTTTGATCATGAATGATCTTACCAATTTCTATTTTCTATATTATGATGTTGATACGACTGAGCGTAGAAGACGGCATAGATTTCTAGAAGGCTGGTATATATGATCATTATTTATATTATATGTATTAATTCTAGAGATCAAGGACTTCTTAAAATATTTGATAGTATTCCATCTTATCCTGACAAATTTCGTCAGATGTTGCACATGCATGTGGAAACATTCAACTACATTCTTATAAATTTGGAGTCTATAGACACCGCTATAGTTAAACATAAAAACGATTAAAGTTTTATTAAATTGTATGCCTTTATTCCAAAAAATTTTGTCTTTATTTGCTTCATATGTAAGATCGAAAGTTCTTACCAATCTCTTCTAATTTGATTTTGCTAGCAGCGATGTCTCTATATTTAAGATCACTAGTGCACCATAAATATCTATATCTTCTAATATTTTCCATTAATAAATATTCGGTTGCCATTTTAATCCCTCAAATTGTAAAAGTTTAAGTTTTTATGCAATTTTTGATATTTAGGACACAGCCTAACATAAAATAAAATAACAAAAAAAAGAAAAAGAAAAATAAAAAGATCGGATCGAGTTTTACAGGTATCGGCCCGATCCGATATTTCCGGAAAACGCTTAATATCGGCACAGCCCTACTAATTAATATTATTAAATACACAAACTTAATTATACTATAACAAAAATTTTTTTATTTTATATATATAAATATCATTTAAGTGCTGGACACCCTGAAGACTCGATTTTGCCTGCACAAAAAAATTTACACTTATTGCGGTAAAAATATAATTTTTTTAAACATTTTACAGGGTTCTGGACCCGAATTAGAGTTCAGAAATTAAAATTGGTTGGACATTTTGAGATTACCGACCAAACAGAGACCGATTTATGGGCAACCCATCGAATGCGGGGTAATATAGACCAGGAGCGGGTTCGACATCTTTTAGAAAATCGGGTTTTTATTAAGTTCTTATTATCAAATTTTCGCTAAATAGAGTTTAAAATTCCTGAACCCGAATTCGGATCCAGGACCCTGCTTTTTATTTAAAAATGGAAAGCAAAAATTAAGAGTTGAATGCCAAGGCATATTAATATGAAATATTCAATAATCGATCTTATCAGATGTTGGTTGAATTTCTGATAATATTTCCTAATATTTTTTCATCATAATTAGTTTTCTTCTTGGTTTCAGATAACTCAGGTACGATATAATTTTTTAAATCTACAGTTTTTTAGCGGGGTCGGTAAAGCCCATCTGATGTTGAGACTGGTTCAGTTTAGTCAATGCTTAACAGGCTGAACCTAGGTTTGGTACTGGTTTAGAAATTTTTTAGTAATTGCAAATTTAGTGTAAGAAATTTCCGCGATGTTATAGTGAATACATATACTATCCCTTAAGCGTAGCGGGAAGGTGGGGGAAGCAATTGACATATCATCCCGAAGCCAAAAAATGTAAAATATTTTTAAAGAAATATGTTTTTATCAATTGCCAAATATCCCTTCCTTCCTTCCTTCCTTCCTTCCTTCCTTCCTTCCTTCCTTCCTTCCTTCCTTCCTTCCTTCCTTTTAGATGACCTTCTAAGAAACACCGTGGTCGTTGCATACTTTAAAATATATTTTAGAGTTTTATATCAACAAAACTATTAAACAGAAGCAAATATAAGAATTTTTTCTTTATTGCAGAGAATAAAAACGTATGTCAGAAGTAAGACATCAAAGAATCGATTTAAATGGATAAATTGATATACATTGAGAATTTGACCCTCAAAACCGAGAAACATTTTAAAAAATTGGCACCCCGGGATGATTACATTTCCATTTATGGATATTGACTCTTTTAAATCATCATTATTTTTAATTCTATGATATTTTATTTTGATTTACCAGTTAATATACAGCCGATAGCCCGTCAAAGAATGAGATATTTCATCAGAAATAGAAGAAATTTTAAATTTTTGATGAAATATGTATTTGGTACTTTCAACTTTGTAAAAATTATTTCTAATATATTTGTAAATCATATTTTATTTAAGAAATCAATTTCATAATGTTTTAAAAATTTACTTTACAAATTTTTGATACATTTTCATTTAAACATTTGATTTTGTAGTTTATGATCTAAACTATTTTTAAATCATGCTACGCTATGTTGGATTTTACATATATTATTTTTGATTTTTTTATTACCCAACTTTCATCTAGCAAAGTTTAGTTTCGTTTTATTTTCCGATGTAGAAAGCTATGAACTATTGAAGGCATTCTAGAGATACCCAATTTTTGTACTATAATTAAAATGTTATTAAGCCTTCAAATCATCTTCAAAATTTTATTTAAGACACATTTTAAAAATTTGTTGATAATATTAGCAACCCTCTATCACCGCATCTACAAATTAGAGATCATTTTCCATTGAAGAGGGAATGAAAAGTAACTTAATGTAAATGTCTACGCAATCAATAACCCTTGATTTAGTTTTATTAAATATAAATACAGTGTGTTCCGAGATTTTATTCCCAACTATTATTAATATATATTAAAGTATAATGACTAAAAATAATAAATTTATTTTACAAAAATTTGAAAATAGTAATATTTATAATCATTTCTACCCTGTTTTATATTTTATTAACTTTTGACTTATTTCTTACGAGTTTTATATGCAAATACTTTTTTGTTCAATTCATATTATTTTTACCCTCCTTATGTTTTTCGAGATTACAATATTGAAATATTTTTTAATTATTCGCAATTTTAACTCCTTTCCAATAAAGTCACATCATTAATTAGTGTAATAAAAATACACCTAGATTTAAAAAATAAAACTCAATATTAAATTAACTTATATTTTGTTAATTGTAGAATTCTTATGATTTTTGCTTGCATCTTAATTAAATAAACATACTTGATATGATTATAATGATAAAGTTATGAAATACAAAGAAGTTTTTATTTAAACCTCAAAAATAAATATAAAATTTTATAATAAAAACTCGCGGCTGAAGAGAGAAAAATTTATTTTTGAACATCTACTCAAAATACCTGGTTATGCTACTGATTATGCCTAATATTTATACTATTTTGTCCAATATTTTATTATTTATCTTCGAAATTAATAAAATCTGATTTGTTCTAATAAATTTTGTATGATGAGTTCTAATAATTTTTTAAAAAAATTTTCTCATATTTTAAAAAAATATCCCCTACCCGAACTCCATAGAAGAATTCCTGGCAAGGTATATGCAAACCTTTGATTTACCTTTACCTAGTTTAGTTTAGGATATTAATTGTACTTGCATTCATATTTTTGCAAAAATGCATTCGTGCTAACCTTTTCATGGTATCGCTTTCGCGGTTATATTTTTGTGGTAGTAATGCATTCAGGGAAAACGTTTTATGCTAATAATTTGATACGAATTTATTTTAAAATTATTTTATATATAAATGACAATCATTATATATATTTTTTATTGTAAAAAATTTATTTGAACTCTCTGAACCCTTTTTTTAGGGGAGTTCGGATTCAGAATCTTATTCAAGAGGGGTTGTCTTGCACTGAGATTTGGTCGATATATGAATGATCTATTATTATCTTTAAACTACAATAATCTATTTTGTATTCATCATCTAGTCATATATATACTTGGTCAAATCAATATCGGTAATATGCTAATGACGCCTCAAAATAAAAACATTTAAATGGACATATAAAATCAAAATATAATATGACATTAACGCCTTTATAAACATTAAACTTTAAATTGAATAAAACACAATATTTACAATCATGTAACATGCACCACTTAGAATAAAAAAAAATAATAAAAAAACATGTATGAAAACGATGTTATCATGGAAAAATATCCAGGGATCCAAACCGAAACGAATATGGGTTCGGTTCAGGTTTGGATTAAAATTACGGTTCAAGGTTCGGTTCGTAAAAAATAAAGATATCAGTTCGGTTCGAACCTCTAAAAACCGGTTTGAACAGTTTTATATTCAAACCTATATTCAAATTATGTATAGGGAAGAATATTTCTTTTATTTCATCATTAAAATAAAAAACGCATACTTAAAACCTTCATTTTTATTAATTGCACATTAGAAAATAATATTTAATTTATAAATATAACAAATAAATATCAATGATTAATTTTAATATAATCAATATTTAACTTTATTTACTTAAATTTTTTTTATTAATATACATTTTTATGATTCTTCTCACTCAAATTACATCTATAAGGGGATAGTATAAATTTAATCGTTGAAAAACATCTTTCCACACTAACCTGGGTAGCCGGCACTGCCAGTATGATATCAGATTCTGATTTCTCCAATATTTCTAAAATATTCATATTTTTATCTAGGTTCTTTAGAAAAATTAATTAAAATATTTCTAATATTCTCTGATTTTTATAATAGATTTTGATTGTTAACATCTTTTTCTTTAAGAAGACTTTCTACTAAGTCCTCTTCAGATGATAATACATTAACTGGTATTGATTCACTTTCGCTAGAATCCTCCACTCTTATAAATATGTTCTCTAGCTTTTGTTTTTTTCTTCTTCAGTAGAGCACTTGATATCTATATAATAAAAATTAAAAATGAAAAAAATATAAAGTAAAATAAAATTATTAATTAAATTTATATAACATATAATATAATATCTTGAAAACATACCTTAAATCATATATAGGCATGACAAAAAGGTATTGTTGTTTAAAAGTTGTTTTTCTCTAAAATTCATAGCATCTATTATTGAACCAGCAAAGGGTGAAGTAAAAATAGAAATTTCTAATTTAGCTTTAACCATATGCCATAAAAATCCTCTAAAGTAAGCTGCTCAAGTTGTAAGTTTTGGGTCGCAATTTTAATTGGTTTTAGAATATTTACCAACCCTATAATTGCTTCCCATTCCAAAGCTGTTCAATTAAGTTCACTGTATGATACTGAATTCCTCACATATATCTTTTTTTCATTCAATCTCTCTAGCATGTCATAGGTTGATAACCATCTATGGAAATCCAATACAGGTCTTTTTAAATTTAATTATTTTAGTATGATTGATATCGATTTTGTCCTTAGCTTTATGCAGGCATTATGAGCTTTAATAATATTATTAGAAACTGAGCAACTTTCTAATGCATGATCTCCCACAAGTTGTAAGTCTTATACTTATAAAATTATATTGAGAATTATTAAGATTGCTTGTTAATTCATTAGGTACATTTGTGGATCTAGTAGAAACATCCAAATAATCTATATTTTGTATTTGTTCTTCTTCATCATTTTCAGACATTTGATTGTCATCATCTCTTTCCTCCATATTTTACCATCTTAATCAAATTTGCTCCTTTGCCAGTTGTTATAGTGTATATTGTGAAGTTTTGATTTCATATTCATAAAGATGTTTTAAATTGTCTGCAGTGGGCCGTTTAAATATTTCTTTCATTGCGTTCTCAGAACAATTTTTGTTTTTTGAATATACTGAAGATTAATCCCAATAATGGACCTGTCTAGACGAGTAACACAATCAATTTTTAGAGATAACCAACCATTTATTTCTTTGATTATATTTTGCGGAATACTTAAGTCTAATTCTGCAACATTGAATTGAATATTTTGAGAATTAATTTTAATATTACCCATGCCTTCTAATATAGGATCAAGAATGTTTCTAAAATTGCTATCATCAAATAATTTGAATGGTCTGTCATCAAAAGTGACCAACTTTGTACAAGCATTGATTATTATTTTTTTATTTAGTTTTACTGAT